CCATTGTGCTTTGTGTGCTTTTGCAGCGTTTTTCTTATTGCTGGTGTTTTCTTAAGTTGCAGTCCATTTGGCCTCTCAGGGTCACATTAAAAAAACCTCCCTTTTAACAGAAAGAAATCTCCCGCAGAACCAGCCAGGGGCAGCCATCAGCCATGACCAGCTTGGGGGTCAGGGGAGGGAGGCACAACAAAAGACTCGCCCTGGGAGAGAGCCAGAGATTAATAATAACTAAGAATTAATAGTAACTAATGAACCTAGGAAGGAAAAACCTTCTTATAGTGTAATGCTTCTCTTAATGATTCCAGATATTTTTTCCTTTACTTCATCTTTGGAAGTGTTAAAGTTAATTTAAAAAAAAATTGAGATATGTTTATGATATATAAATATGGGGAAAACTGACATAAAAAACTGAATGAACATGCCAAGGTTTAAATAAGAGATTTTTTTAACAGAGCATCCAAATACAGCATGACTTCAAAGGGTTTACAGCGGAAAATGGCAGGAAAGCTTTGATATAAATAACAAACGTACGTGTCTGTATCTTTGATTTTTTTTTCTTTAATTCTGTGTGTCCAGTGGTGATGTCAGACACGTCCTAGTTTTCCTTCCACACAAGCAGCTGCTTCCACCTTCCACTCTGTAATGTTTGAATAACAGAACATTTCCCTTCTCCTTCCTTCACAGAGTCATTTCACTGTTCTTGTCACGAATCCCATTGGGCACCTCTTACTTTTTTTTCCCCTCTTTACTGCAGCTGTGGCTCATCTTGAGAGAACTGTTAGCCAGCTGCTATGACGCTTTAGCTGAACATGAAAAAGGGTGGATTTAAGCATTTTAAGAGTCTTGTTCAGTATGTTGCCGTCCCTGCCGCCAGGTCACAGGTTAGTGTCGGTGAACATGGTGTGCTCCTTCCTCACAGTGCTGAAACCTTTGATTGTATCAACAAATTCTTCATCATCCATAAACTGTAGAAGAAGAATGGAGATTATTGAAGGAAATAGTCATATTTCCAGTGATATGTTTTTTCTTATTAAGCAAGTCTGTCTCTCTTGTGAGTGTTTAAATACCTACAGTTCTGTGGACAAATGTAAAAAATGTGGAGAGTGAGAAGGTCATAGGTTAGCAGCATATAGCGTACTACATTCCTCTGCTGTGACTGTAGCAAAAGGCCTTTAGTGCTTCCAGTTTAAACAGGCACAGCATATGTTTTTGGGATCTCTCACCATCCCACTGTCATGGCCTGAAATGTTGGGATCCCACACGTCATCGTCTCCAGTGAGTGACTTCCCATCCATCACCTGGCTGACGCTGCGCCTCAGGGAGTTCACACTGAGGATGCCCAACTCACCCTGTGGAGGATCCTCGTCTCCAGGCTCACATTTAGCTTCCAGCACTTCCTGGTAAGACAGAAAAAGTGCTAAGTATCACTTGCATATAGAATAAAAATGTATTCGTATATGTAGATTAGACATTTGCTTTTACCTCCATCTTCATGGTGAAGGCCTTGAGCGTTACACTGTTGGAGAAGCCTGTTGTGTCAGGCACAGTATCAAACTAGGGGAAATGAATGAGAGAATTTTTCAGTTGAGAGTAATGTAATAAATGTATTTTATGGGCTACAAATACTAGTAATTCTTTCTTATTTGCTAAATAGTCGCCTTCTTAATACATTGTAACTTATAACACAGTAACTTCTTTAATAAATTGGTAATAATAAAGTTAAGCAGAGAAACTACTAAGAATAAATACTAAGAAAACACTCAAATGTTACCCATCAACTAAATTTGAGTGGTGTATGCTGGTAATAACTCAGACAGCATGGCATATGGAAAATATAGTAGTATTGATTGCCCATTAGTTCTATTCAAAGTTTATGCTGGCAACAGCCCACATTTTATTATCTAAGAAATGTATATAAATCCACATCTGTATATAAATATAATATTCACTTTTCATCACACTTAAAATGATCTTGTACCGTATGTACTTTTCACAGTGTTACTTAGTAAGAAATTACAATTTAGTCTGTAGCGTCACTAAAAGTGTGCTGTATTATGTTTCACTATATTAACAAGACTAGAATACTATAAGAAAGCCTAGTATAGTCTTGTATAGTACAGTGCAGGACCAAAGGTATAGTATAGCATAGTGCAGCGGTCCCCAATCCCGGGGCCGGTCCGTGAGTTGTTTGGATACCGAGCCACGAGTTGAGGCTCGGGTGTAAAAACGTATGGTTTTAAGGGTTTTTATCATTTTTATCATGATTTTTTTTTATTTTTTTTTATCGTTTTTATAGTTAACTCAGTTTCCCTGGGTCTTTTCCCATGTGTTATGAATAAATCTTCCTTTTTTTTGGTACTGGTACTGGTTTTATTTTGTTGTACTTATCCGCGACACCTTAAAGGCCGGCCCGTGAAAAATATTGTCGGACATAAACTGGTTCATGGCTCAAAAAGGCTGGGCACCGCTGGTATAGAGAATAAACAACGTAATATATTATAGTATAACATAGCATACTATAGTACAAAACGTATAGTATAGTATAATATAGTATAGAAACTAAACAATATCATATACTATAGCATAAAATATATAGTATATCACACTATAGTGTAGTATAGTAGTATATACAGTTGTACTGGCAAAAAGTCTAATCAGGAAAAGTCATGAGTGTCATTCATAATATAAATATTAGGTGCCTTGGTGACCCCTGGTGAATAAGTCAAACACAGCTAGCTAGCTGCAGTCAGTAACCAGTGGTTACTGAGACACGTACAGTTTCACTTACAAATTGTAAGTGAAATGTTGAATAAGCGATAAGACAAAAAGAAACTAGAGTAGATCTCCCCTCACCAACATAGAGTTGCTGGGTGGGTAGATAGCCATGGGACTCCTCTTC